GAAAGTAATTCTTACTTTTTCTACATATTCATCATAAATAATATATTTTTATTAAAAAAAAGTAATTTTATTACGAAACAATTTTTGTTTTAAGAACCCTAAAATCGAGCCAAAGAACATAGATTCTTTAGAGTCAAAATCAGCCCCAAATCTTTCATTTTTTGAACAAATTGAAAGGGGTATATGATAGATACTTCAATCACAATTAAAATGCCCCAAATATCATGAAGATCAATTCACAATTGAGATCATTCTTCAAAAAATAGCGGATATTTCACTTCACACAATTTTCAAAACAAAACGCACCAAAAACAAATTCATATAAATAAATATATTGAATCATAAATCAACATACGTGATGTATTTGATTTATGAAGCCTTGATGATCAAAATTAACTGATCAATTCAATAAAAAACGATCAATACATCGATCAAAAATCAATTTTTTTTTCATCGAACACAATTCTTCGAGCAGCAGCATTTTCGGCCGAAATCAACCTCCAAAATTCATCTTTTTCGACAAATTGAAATAGAAAAAAGTTTAAGGATTCAGTAATGAATCAAAGCCCTCCACTTCCATGCATATTCATGTTGACAAAATGGCGGATATTTCCCAGTTTAAGAAATCCGGCATTTCAATCCACCAAAAAAGCGTTCTTCTTCGATTTTTTATTCAATAAACAGTTATTTATAGAAACTTTCAGGTGTGTAGGTGCAATAATTCACCGAAAAAAACAAAACAAGCAAGAAAATCGAATAAAAAAAGGTTACAAAACGTGAATCATACGTTCTGTTTAAAATAACGGCCTCTGTGTAAAATAACAGCAGTTATTTAATAGAATATGTTATGTCCGATATATCGCGTGTTATATCAGAAAATCGGACCGATTAGTAGAAACCGGCTGGTTTTGAAGTGAAAACGCCGATTTGAACTCGAACCGGCCGGTTTTGGTGCTCATTTTTTTTGGAGATCCCTGAAGTTTTACTAGTACCCCAAAACCGGCCTTAACCGGAATCGGTACCTTGGCGGTACCAATCTAACCAGCCGGTTTTATGAACATTGATAGAACTTACTCCAACAAGAGGAGAGAGACAGCGGCGTGAGAAAATATGAGGAGAGATGGTGACGAGATACAAAAATAGGAGGAGAGAGGGGCACATGAGGAGAATAAGAGAGAATATGGTGTGCGAGAGAGATCTTGGGGAATGAGAGAGAAATCTAGATCTATTAAGATAGGGGGCTCAAATCTTGATTAAATAGAAACAAGATCTATTTCTTATTTTGAATAGGATTACAATCCAAGTATTTCTTATCCAATTTCCAGCTAGACCTGTAAGATAATTAGAAAATCTGTAGGATGAGAGAGATTTAATCAAAGTCATCCATCCCATAAATCAGCCATCATGATTTTGGATAGAAAGATAAGAACCTTATCCCTTAGAGTTTGACCCAAGTCCAACTCCTATTTAAATTTGAGCTACAATCAAACCTAAACATTATCTAGATCTCCCATAATCAAGGATGATCTATATTTTAAAACTCCCACTAGAATAGGAAACCAAATCTTATTCAAAATCAAAATATTTCCTATTTAAAATAAAATTTGAAATAAGAAAGTGGGGCAGCCCTTTTTCCTAAAACACAGCGCACCCCCTTTTAGCATAAAAAGTGGCATGCCCCCCCATCTACATGAAAAGTGGCGTGCCACCCTAGGAGGTCATGTCGGCCCCACATGGGTGGTACACACATGTTGGGTCTAGATCCTTGGTCCCCACATGTGCCTTATCAAGTTCTGAAAATTTCAAAAATACCCTTTTAATGAAAATTACAACAGAAATAATATTCATAATGATGTTGGCCCAAACCTCGTCTTTTAGGTCGCCAAAAGTTCTCAAAATCGACTATCACGAACTATTGTCATTGATTTCAAAAGAAATAAAAAAAATCAAAAATTTATCGATCATTCGAAAAATCACATATTCGAGTTTTTAGGAAGTATTAATCTCTATAGAAGCAACGGATTAGGTTGTGGGGGTTTAGAATGCCCCACAAAACACGTTTTCTCCTATTTTAGCGGGAAACTACTAAATTGACCTTGGCCAAGGGCATTTTTCCGCCTTAGGCAAGTTGTGTTGAGGCGACACCTAAGCAACCGTCTTGACAATACCGCCTAGGCGGGTAAGGCGGGCGCCTAGATGCAAGCTACCAAGGTGTCCTGCCTAGATGCTGCCTAGGCAGTTTGGCCACTCATCTGATTAGGCGGCTGGGTGACTGAGTTTTCGAATATTGTCCTGAGCAAACTTCTGCACGGCATGTACACATGATAGCCGCATTACCATGAAGCAACCCTAAAAAGGAATAGTGTACATGTCCATAGAGAGAGTACCCCTTGCACCACATGATATGTATGTGACTTGCTCTTAAGGGGAGAAACCTATAATCCACATTCCAAAACTTCGGTTCCACTATTTATTGGCCGGCTTTGATGATCCAAGCAAGGGCCCCTGCAGGAGACTGTGGGTCATGGGTCTAGTTAGGTTGGTTTGAGAAGATAGTCGAAGATCATAGTTGCTGGTTCAGGTGTTTCTGTGAATTTTTTGAAATTTCAAAAATTAAGTTCGGCAATGAAAATGCTAAAAGCAATAAAAACGCTAAAAAGGGCATTTTATTTCTGGATTGTGGAAGGAGGAGGTGGGACATGTGCGGTCCTTTGAATCCAACCCAAACATGCACCACCCTTACATGTGTGGCGCATGGAGCCCATGGGGGCCCACACCTCACCCTAACAAGGAAGCATGCCCACTTTTCTTTTCTTTTTTTTCTTTTAAATTGGTTTTATTATGGAAGGAAATTTAATATAATCTTTTGAAAAGATATGGCCTTATTTTGTGGGAGTTGAGTTTTTTTTTTTTTTTTTTACCAAATCATTTATCTTTCTGAATTCCTAAAATCTTGTGATAGATACATGAGTTCTAGAAGATTAGTTTTTGATTAGTCATAGCCTAGTTTGACTAAAAGTGGATATGGATTCCTAGATTCCTCCTTAAATCATGATGGCTTATTTATAGGACGAATGCCTTAGATTTAATCCTCTCTTACTTCACCGATTCCCTAAAATCCTATTGGCCATGATGAATCACAAATTGGATAGGAATTACCTAGGGCCCTTGAGGCCTATATAAGGAAAGGATCCCCCCTCATTATCTACACAATTTCCTAGCCTCTCTCTCTCTCTC